GCTGGATGGATGGATGGATGGATGGATTGATGGCTGGATGGATGGATTGATGGCTGGATGGATGGATGGATGGATGGATTGATGGCTGGATGGATGGATGGATGGATGGATGGATGGATGGATGGATGGATGGATGGATGGATGGCTGATGGCTGGTCGGGTAATAGATAGATGGATGATGGATGGATGATGGATAGATGATGATGTTGAAGGAACTCAGGGAGTTTTAGATCAGTCTTGTTGAAACTCTCATGCTTCCTTTCCTCCCTCAGTCAGCCCCATGTTCGAGCAGCTCCTTGACGAGCAGCATTTCTCCGAGGCGAGCCTCCTGCTGAACCACACAGAAGACCTTCTGTTTGGAGACACATCTGAAGACCAGCCTCTTCATCACCATGAAGAGGAGCTGGCTCGTCTGACCGCACAGCGTGGAGCTCTGGAAAAGCTTTTGGTGCAGACTTTAAACCAGAGTCTGTCTCTGAACCTTGAAGAGATCTCCAACGAGGTGTCGGTTCCAACCACCGCCTTGACCTCTGCTGTGAAGGCCATCCACCAGGCGGAGGAGCAGGACCTGAAGTGGACCACATGTCGAACACCCAACAACTGGAAGAAGCTCCACGACTCAACCCTCTGCTCCCTGGTGGAGGGACGGATGGACAACCCGTTAGTGGGTCCTGCTGGGCCGACGGATCAGTCCTCCATCCAGATGGACATCCAGAACATGGGGAGGCAGCTGAAGGAGGACCTGCTGCAGGTGGTCCACGTGGTGAAGAACTGCTACCCCCCAGAATCCAACATCTGTCAGGTCTACGCCTCTCTGTACCACCAGAACCTCAGCGCCAGGCTCAGAAAGATCTCAGACTTTGTTCTGGATGACAAGGACTGCACGTTCCTCCTGAGATGGGTCAACGAATTCTATCCGGGGTGAGCATCAGCTTGGCTCTGGTTCAGTTCAGGCCAGAGTTCGGCAACAGGGATCAGTTCCAGAATCTGATGCTAATATGTTAAAGTAACAAATATTTCATTATTCATGATTAATTTTTTCACGTCCTGCGTTCCAGAATCCTCAAAAAGCCAGAACTGGTGGGTGAAATCGATGTTGAGGCGCTGGGGACCCTGCTGCCCCAAGATCTACTGGAGCCTCTGGAGGCGCAGTACCTCAACAAGCAGGAGGTACCGCAGCCCACTCTGAGTTCTGTTTAATCCACAGGTGTAGAGTTTGTCACAGCACGCTGGTTTTACACAAGAATAAACTATGTTAAGTGCTTAATGTAATGGTTCCCAACCATGGTCCCTGAGGAACGCCATCCTGCACGTTTTTGTTGTTTCTCTGCTCCAACACACCTGATTTGAATTAAAGGGGGATTAACAGGTTTCTGCTGAACAGGAACTAATTAAATCACTGTATCAGATGTGTGGGAGCAGAGAAACAACTAAAACATGCAGGGTGGTGTTCCTCAAGGACCAGGGTTGGGAATCCACTGGAATGCGTGTCTAAAACAAACAAACAAACAAAAATCTTAGTTTTTGTCATTTCGTTTTACAAACTTCGACCCAGAACAAGGAGCAGATTGTTGCCACTAAACTCAAACTTCACCTGCAAGAACAGAACCCTAACGCGAGCTCATCTTCCAGATGTTGAGCAGCGGTGAAGTCTGTGACGAGTTATTTATATGAAGGCTGTAATCTGTTCTGGACAGATTTAAGTGTTGGGAAGGAACAAAACATGACTGTCACATTAAAACCCTGCTGCTGTGTGTTCAGAGCGAGCTGTCGGCCTACGTGAGCCAAGTCCTGCAGGTAGAACGGAGGAAATGGGTCGAAGGAACAGAGCCGACAATGGACGACGGCCGATACTTCAGCCCTCTGGCCTACGACATCATCCAGGTACAAGAAAACGTATCACCCACCACCTTGAACTCAGAGCACGAGTTAGGGAGGACTCACGGCTACTACTCAACATCTGTACAATCGTCTGCGTTGTAGTCATTTTAGTGTTTGCTGAGCAGCCAGATTTGGATCATCCTGTTTTAATCCGGAGTGACATTAAAATTGCTGGCCGCGCTGATTTTGTTGGAATTTCTCAACTCAGTCATTTCCAGATGGTTTCACACCGACTCAAATCAAACTGAGGGCCGGACCCTTGAGAGATAAATCCACCAACGTGGTTCTTTATTTAGAGGAAGCGCTTTGTCTGCATGAGACTCGGGGTTCAAAAAAGGCTTAAAAAAAGAGGACATAATCTGAGGCCTGTTCAAGACGTGGTGACGGTTTTGGACATGGACATGACGTGAGCACAAATCTCCTGCAAGCAGCAGAACTCACATTTGAACAGCTGGAGCTGTGCAGACAAACCTGCTCGGTTCTGCAGCCTGAGGACTGAGCTGAACCACCATCCTAAGGCTGAGGGTTCAAGCCCAGGCTGGTCTGGAACACAAACTCCCAGATGTTTCATGTGAGTTTTCTCACATGGTGACTTCAGAGGAAGAGGGCAGCTGTGGTGCAGTGGTACGACAACCGTCCTGAGACCTGAAGGTCACAGGATAGATTCCCCACCATTTGTTGCAGCGTCCCTGAGCAAGGCACCTATTGTCTAAACGCTCCCTGGGCTTTTAAACGGCGTACCCAAAATGTTTACAAAGTGACCAAAGGTCTGATTTGAAGGAAATTTTAAACTGACCTGGATTTCCTGATCCGGTCTGTGTTCAGTTCATCAACGGCATGGTGATGGCGGCGCAAACAGTGACAGGAAGTCTGGACCGAGCCCAGAACATCACCCACGGACTCACAGATTTAATGCAGAGGTATAAAAAATACATAAAATATTCTAACGATTTAACAAACATTGTCTGAGTTTGACGTGAAAACGGTCCCGTTCCTGCAGCTTCAGAGCGTTTCAGGACGATGTCATGAAGCAGAACAAGAGCCCGGCCCAGGTGAAAGCTAACCTCAGCTGTGTGGAGCAGTTCAGGTGAGGTTCTGGTCCAACACGCCACACAGCAAGAGTCTGAATATTGGACTGACAGTGTCTCCTGTCTGCAGGGACTTCTTCGACAGCAGGAGACATCTGTTCCCAGAGGACGTCCAGAAGGCCTGTTTGGAGGTTCTGATGGACATGAAGCGATCCGCTCAGACGTTCTTATTGAACCCGGTGCACAAAGTTCTGAAGGTGGGTTTGATTTAAGGACCTGAGCTCTGAGTCAGCAGTCACTGTCGTTTCGAAACCTTCGGCTCGTTCAGGAGGTGGCTCCTCTGACTTTTAGTGTTTGTGAATGTTTTACTTTTCAAAACATAAAACTTTATTTAAAATAAAACTCTGGGTAGAAGCATCGTCACATTTGTACGTTTATTTAAATGTTCTCTTTGAAACCTGCGTCAGAAAACAAGCTGTTTCTGCTTTATGCTACTCTTAAATTTTGGCTACGATTTGACTGTAGCTTTTAGCTACTGTTCTTCTACTTTACAGTTACCATTCTGCCACTTTTAGCTACTGTTTAGTTATTGTAAGCTTTCAAGTACAATTCTGTTACTTTTAGCCTTTAGTTACCATTTGACTATTTTAGGTATTATCTACCATTTTGCTATTTTGAACTTTTAGCTACTATTTCACATTTTTAGCCTTTAGCTTCAATCTTTCTATTTTGCACTTCAAGTTATAATTTTGTTATTTTGAGCGTTAGCCTACAATTCTGCTACTTTAAGCTTTTTAGCTACCAATTTCCATTTTTAGCTTTAAGCTACTAATTCACAATCTTGGCTACCAATCCGCCACTTTTACCTGCTGTTCATGTACTATGCACTTTTAGCGACTATTCTCCCACTTTTGTCTTTTGGCTCATTTTAACACAGTTTGTAATTTTAGCTAATTCCAGCTTTAGCATCAGTTTAGCTCGTTTTGACTTTAACATTTGTTTTTGATGTTTTTAGCCACTGTTCTCCAGCTCTCAGTGTCGTCATTCTGCAGTAGATGTTGGAGATGATTCAGCCTCTGGATTAAACCTTCTGTTAGTTTAAGCAGATTTAGCTGATGTTTGCAGCACAGCTCTAAATCTCGTTGCTTCTCTCTTACCTGCATTACAGCCACTTTCCCAGAAGCTGTGGACCAGCGGCTGGCTGAAGAAGGACGTCTTCCTGAAGCTGCTGGACGATTTGGAGAACGAGCTCCAAGGCTTTCAGGACCTGCATCCCTCCTGTCAGCAGGTGAGCAGCACATCAAACTCCTCGGCTGCTTTAATGTAAAATCTGACTCCTGATGAGCTGATCGGTTCGGTTCCAGGAGGTGATGGGTCAGCTCCACCAGGAGGTGACTCAGGAATACGTGAGGAGGCTCCTGAGAGGAGAAAAGAAGCTGAAGGACAGGGAGCAGCAGCTGAAGGCTTTCTCCACGATGATGAACCATGCTGACAGTCTGTTTGATCTGTTCTGCAAATGGGTGAGATTACTAATTCAGACCAATCCCACTCCCCTGCCAATCAATGCCTGGAATATCCCTTTAAGTCAAAAAGGGACTTTTAAGTGTTAATCAGAACCGGATCGGGCCTTGGGTTCTGTGTACGTCCAGGAAGCTCCAGCTGACCTGGTTGTTCTGTTCTGAAAGGGATCAAAGGAGGACTGGTTGAAGGAAATCCTGATCAACATCGCAGAGGTCCTGAAGCTCCAGGACGTCCCTGCCCTCCAGATGCAGATCGCTTTACTGGGATCAGCTCATCCGGACCTCAGGTACCAGCCGGGTTCTGGGCTTTCAATCAAACCCAACAGGGTTGAGTTTTGAGTTAAAGTTGGTGTCGTACGGGAATTTTCGGGTCCTGATCAGGACCGGAAAAGCTTGGAGGTAAGTTCTGTTAGTTTGAGGGTATACAAAGGAAGCGGTCCGATCCAAACATCTTGTTTCCTGACAGCGTCTCTGTCGGAAATCTCCTCGTCTCCCAGGATTAAAATTAGAAAACAATTTGGAGCGAAAATCCACAAACGTTTGGCCTCATCAGACCAAAAACAAAACATTAGCAGAATCTCTGTAAACAGGAAGAAGTGGCGGTCCAATTAGAACCAACAACTCTTTGGTTCTGTTCCCACGAGCTCATTCAGCGTCGTCCATTAAAGGGACGACGATTAAAGTGGTGCTCTGTGTTAAATTTTGAAGAGAGAACATGTTACCTGCTGCACATAACTCTTTCAAAGACTCCAGTTAAAGAAAAACAGCTAACAGATAGCACTGAGCAGAAAACAGACAACAGCTAATAGCTAGCTGCGAGCATCTAACAACCAACAGCTAAAAACAAACAGCTAGCAGATAACAGCTAACAGGTTAGCTATTTCTAATAACTAGTTTGAGTGGAGCCACAACCAAATTTCATCTCTAGAATATACACTTTTTAAAAAACATTTCCAATGCCGTCACAATTTTGCATCTGGAATTTGATGGTCGTTTACAAGAGCCAATGGCAGCGGCGGCCAGCTGTAGCTTTTCCGGTGCAATCTTGGGTCATTTCCTGCAGGAATTTTTAAACATTTTTGTCTAACTTAAAAGAAGGAACTACTTTGCACGAACTGCTGTAACTTCCTGCAGGAAATACCCACAGGCTGCACTGGAAGTGCTACAGCTAGTTGCTGCCGCTATCTGCACTTGAAACCTCAGAATTTTGTGTAAAATAACGGTGTAATGTGAAATCGGAGGCAATGGCCGATTAAGTGTTTAATTGTTTATAAGTTTTTCCACAAACCTGCAGTTAAAAAAAAAATCTGAACCAGCCCTTTAAGTTCTAACAACATAAAGGGAAATTTCAGACATTTTTACAATGAGATTTTGATTTTTCTTTTCTTTTCTTTTTTTACGTGATTTTCATTCTGAAGACCAGCTTTAATGAAAGACTTGATTAAAACGTTAATTTGTTTGCTTCTTTTTTTTAACCCACAGAGAAAATCATGTTTCGTCGTTGCTAAAACTGAAGTTGAATATTTCCAAACCGGACAGGAGGATCATTAAAATGACTCTGATGGACCTGCAGAGAGAAACCAGCCCCGCTAATGAGTTTTTCTCCAAACTTTGATTCATCGTCAGCTGATGAAGTTTACAGCTTCTGTGTTTTTAAACAAATGTGAAATTTTCAGTTAATTTGTGTTAAAATGTGAAGAAACAAACTTTATTTTGGACAAAGATGGACATGAAACATATGGATTTATGCTGTGCATACTGAGGGATGAGACGGAGCTTTTCTTTACTCTGTACAGTAAATGTAAAATAAATGCTTTTGTAGTTTCAGTGCAAATGCTGTAAATACAACTAAAGTTCAGATGTAGTGGTAAATATTCGTGTTTGAGATTTTTTAAATACAGTTTATGTATTTGCGTTGTTGAATTTTGTATTAAATAAAAACAAACAAATGTGTTAAAAACCTGAAACTACATTTGTTTATTATTTTTCACTTTTATTCGCATTTACATCAGAAGAAAAAATACAAAAAGCATAGTCTAATTAGCATTTTCAGAAAAAATGTTGAGTGAATGTTGAGAGCTGAAGAAGCTAAAACTGAAATACTGTTAAAACTATCAGAGCACAAGCAAAAATAAGCAGGACACAAGCTAAAACTTTAAGAACATAAGAAAAAATAATCAAGATACAAGCTAAAACAATAAGAACACAAGCTAAAACGAGCAGAACACAAGCTAAAATAAGCAAGATACAAGCTAAAACTATCAGAACACAAGCTAAAA